AAGCTATGCTGGTCCTTTTTCAAGCCGGTATCGATTGCAATTGCTTATTGCTTAATGGACGCTATATACATGAGGTTTTTTTACATACCAACAGAACGTATATCAAATTTCAATGAATTAAAATTCCTTCATCACTTTTATGACACATTTTAAACGCAATTGTTATAATTTCCATGTCCGGTAGATGGAAAATAATATGTCGACTGTCTTTAATTGGAGAATGTAAAAATTAGATCCCTGTTTTTGGTCTATATACACTGAGCTATTGGTAATATATTTTTCGTAATCTACTCGGAACATAAAAATTACGTAAATTATATAAAATAATTGTACACGTCTTTAGAAAATGTTTATATATATAATAAATAATGCAATTTGATTGGATATTCTCCAGTTTTTTCGAGATTTTTAAAAAAAATGTACAATTAAATGGAATGAAAATAACAACAATATTTAGCAAGATAAGCAAGCGTGGGTATTATACCATAACAAGTAATAATCCTTCGTATATAAAAAATTTCATGCTTGCTGCCTTGCCTTACATATGGAGCACAAACTTCGATTTTCAAAAACAAAACTAAACCCAAAAAACGTTCGTCCCAGCGTGCGATAGAAAAAAGTATTGATGACGGGATCGAAGGGGTAGTTGTAAAAAATTGATGACGATGGCAATAAATAAAATAGGGTGGCAAAAGTTAGAGGAGGCCTTCTCCCGGACAGGGGCCGCATAGAGTGGTAAAAATTTCATTTATATCTATTTTTGTTAAATGTATGTCAATAAGATGTGGATAAATGAAGGCTTTATTATTATTATTTACGTAGAACAAGAATTGAATGAATTGAATTGAGAAATGATTAATTACATTAGAGGATTTTAGTTTAATACAACTAAGAATAGTCTTAAATACTCGTGTAGTGATTTAGCAATTTAATCTAGATTACAGCAATTAATGTGAACTCCAAACAACTTGTGGGAAAATAGAAGATATCGAACCCTGTTTATATTTACAAATATCTATAGAGAACTATAGTTAGATCAAAGTATAGTTTTATTTACTTTCAACCTCCTTGGAAATAAACTAATAAAAGTAGGCAATAAAAGCTCTCTGGAGCATATAATTAAGTTATCCGTGCAACTTCATAGCGCACTGACAAAAAGACTTCAACCTGGCTTGATTCTGCGTACCTTTCTCAATGAAAAATATTATATTTTATCGTTTATTAAATAAGTTAGGGACACTCTACAATTGGAAATGACGTTCATTATAATCAATCTTAAGAACTTAACCGTCAAAAATGTGAACCCTTTATGATACAGGCTTAGACCTAGCATAATATTATATGACAAAGCTTTTATATGGGAAAACCTTTACTTAACCTTTCTTTTATATAGAAAACATCATGACGTCGTAATTTTTATTTATAATCTCTACATATACCAAGGGCGGTACAACCTTTTAGGTCTGGGCAGGTATCTGTTCCGAGATTTCTAATAGACAAGTAGGTGATCAACCTTCTGTGCCTGACACACGCCGTCGAATTTTTGTGTCGAAGGCATGCTGGTTTCCTCACGATGTTTTCCTTTACCATACGTCAATTGGTGCACAGCTGGGGATCGAACCTACGACTTCAGGGATGAGAGTTGCATGTGAAAAACCATTTGGCCAACACTGCACATTTTATAGATTAATTTTATTTGAGTATCTAAAATAAAAATGTGCCATTTCCTTTACAATATATTATACTGTTTATTGTTAAGATAAATTTTATATCCTTATTCAGTAACGCGTAATCGTAAATTCAAAAAGTTCAAAGTTCTCAAAGTATCTTACAAGAAATCTTAATCAAAAGATTCCTGAAAATCTGATCACGGGGTGAATAAAGCAAAAAATTCAATTTCGATACTGATCGAAGCAATTTCCTCTCCCTAATCTACTTATACAGTCTACGTTTATAATTCAATTATATCTTGTGCACTAAATAAGCAAGTTTCCAATATTAATAGCATTTAGTCTGCTTGTACGAGAAACATATAGTTTAGTGGTTTAAATAATACTTTTTTAAGAAGGCGATTTTGAGCCTAAAAAGCCGAAACAATTATTGCTTCAGAGGGAATTCTACCTACGGTTTTATAGCAATTCTAACCATTAAGTCATGGAGAGTTAATAAAGAGGTTTAATAAAGTACGACGACGTTCAAGCTATATTAATTAAAATCCTTTTACATCGTTTTAATGAATTTGTTTGAAAGTTTCGGAACGTTGGCTTTGTCGAGTTGAATTTCGCTGTTTAATTAGTTCTACATGAGACATGTTGATATTTATCATCTGTACTAGCGTAGGTATCTAAGTGATAATGAATATTCCAACTACTGCACACTTAATTTAAATTTATGTATTATAAAATAGATGTTGCAACCATGTTATATTAATTAAAGTAATTATTTTAACAATCCTTTACATTGAAAAATAATTGTAATACATTTTTATTTTTTTTAGCGGGCTAAAAAACTGTCATAAGGTCGAAACTGTGTTAAAAACGCGTTCGTTTCGTACATTTTTAATAAAGCTCGCGTAAACAAAATATATTATGCCCCAATAGTTTGGAAAACGCGAATTCAATTAAAACTTTCCCAGTAGGATGACATTTCGCAAACAGTTCGAGAAAAATCACTTTTCAATTTCAATTGCTCATCGTTATTGGATAGCTATTAGTAACAACTCACTGAGTTATGCCTACGAAACTATATTTTTAAACATAGGTACATCTTAAATAAATATGAGTACATGGGTTTTTATTACCTTTTTTTTTTGAAATTTATTATTTACAGAATAAATCATGAATTACATTAGAAAACCACTGTGGTTTGTTTAAATGTAACCCTATAAAGTATGCCTATAAAAGTAGTTTTTCGACTTACTTTTTATGTTGGTTAACGTTAGGCTTACTGTCCAAGTCCATTTATTAGCCACTTTAGCAAATACCTCAACGTTCTCTCGCCAAAGACGTCATGCTCAACTCTATTATCTCAACAATTTAACGTAAACAATTTAATAATATTTAATATTTAGTATATTATTCAATTATTAATTAATATTAATAACAATTATTATTATTATATTATTCATTCAATTTAATAACTTGGTATGTTTCATAACCTTACCTAAGTAACAATAGGTCTTTGTGAAAAAGCATTGCTAAATTTCTTTGAAAAAATAATTAAAACTCCTTTATTTGTTTAAAAGGTAAATGTCATTATGGTCGCGCAACGCGCGTAAAGAAGTATAACTTCAAAAGCACCAGTACTAATCTAACTCTTCTAATTTAACTTACGTAAATACAACTTGTTATCAAGAGACTACTGGTACCTTAGTTCAAATAGTGTACTTAGACATAGTTTTATAATAAACGCGCCTCTGAGAAGATTATTGTTTCTTGTATATTATTATTTTCCATAACTACTATTTAAAATATCAAGTTCAATCTTGCGTTAACAATACTAATAAGTTCATTGTTATTCATATAAAATAAATCAGTGGCGCTACAACCTCTTTACTCTCTTTACATACACCACTAGATCCATTCAATATAATCTCTTATTCTGAAAAACCACAACAGATTCAATTTACATTTCCACATAAAGATAAAGAAGGGACTTTTATTGATCATTACATACCTATCTAGAAGAATGAACGAAAGTTAATGGCGTTTGACGTCGTTTCGCAAAAATTTATTTCACAGATAATAAAAATTCATTGCCAACGCTTTTATTACACAGAACAGAGTTTATAAATCTAAATAATTTTATCATCGTCACATATACATATCGACGTAGGAAAGCATATTTGCTGTAAGTAGACATATTGCAATTGTTCACCAGAGCCAAAAAACTTAATTAATTTCGGAAAAAAATTAATAGTGTCGAATCTATCCATGATATTGTTACCATTTTTGAAACATATATTTATTTAACTGCCAGTCACCATTTGCAATGTAAACTTTTTATCCAAAGTTACTATAAGTACGTGTTTGGCTAGTTACAGCATACAGTTTTTTAAATCACAAACCTTTAAAACGCTGTAACTAAGGAAGAAAAATGTACGCGCGGAAATATTATCAATTTACAGGCGGTAAATATGCTGTATGCAGTAAATTTATGTATTTGGGTACTTTCAATTGCAATTCAAGATGTAAGATGAGTTTATAATTATGATTAGATCTAGAAATGCAGTGGGTCATTTGGTAATGTAATGTTTGGTTGTAATAACATGTTGTAAATGGTAAAAAAAAACTAAAACTGTAGGTTCCCTAAGCTTGCTGTAAGTAAACGAATGTAAAAATCACACGCCGCAGAAATGCTGTAAGTAGCGTTAAGTTTTTAAATGGGAAGAAGTAAGTATTTGTAAAGTAAAAAATGCAGATTTTCTTTTGCTGTAAGTACAAATTGTCTAAAATGACTGGATTTTGGTCTACATACAGCATTTAATCTTACTAAAAAAATATAAGTACGGGCGTTTTCAACCGCGTATGTAATTTTTTTTCATCGTAGAGACACAGGGTTTTTTTTTCTGATTCTAATGGCAGTAAAAAGTCACTTTAGGTATTTTGTCTACTTACAGCAAATATGCTTTCCTACGTCGATATACAGGCACGAAAAGCCGTTTTTTCTTGTATATTGCCATCAACAAATGTACGTATATGAACTTGAGCTATTAATAAAACCAGATTACATGTCTGGTCTATTACATAGGAGATTCGGGTCTTTAGAGACCAAATCCTGTGTTGAAAAGTGTACGTACACTTCAAGAATAAAATGGTTCAAAGCGTGACCAATCAAGTAAAAAAGCTCATTATCGATTGTCATCATCTTTCAAAGTGTGGTGTGTCGATTCGAATGTGGTCTAATTCTCGGACTGGGAACTGCGATTGGGAGCTTGAAAATGACGGAAATTTAAAAGTTATCGAAGTGATAACTTCTTATGGTAGGGTAAACGTAACGCGTTACGGCAACAGCCTCCAAATCTCCAAACCTAAGTTTTTCAAGTATTATTAAATTTAATCATAAACGGCTTTCTATTTATACACAAAAATGTTCTGCTTTACTGAATGAAAATTTTCATAAAATTCCGTTAATTTGACTTTTGAATTTGATTTGTTTGAGATGTTACTAAATATTTTTTAACTAAATTTTTAGCTTAGCATTTAGTATAGGTTCTACGGTCAAAATTACAATTAAAAATGATTAATAAGCCAGAAGAAGCTGCAACAAGTCATGTAACTGTACTTGATGCAGTCTTTGCAAGATTTCTAGATGGCATTCAATGTAACGTAAAAATATCGTTGCTTATTATTGCTACGAATGGTTCGTTACTTATATAGCATTAAATAATGATACTAATAATTAATATGCACAAAATTCTAATTTACGTTCAAGAATTGTAACTTTACATATTTTATAATTAATAAAAGATTTTATTAATAAATAACCTTTCCTTATATTATAATACTAATGTGCATAAAAAGTAATAACCTAAGCTTTTCTCAAGTTAAACAATTTCAATAGTAAATAGTTCAACTTAGATTAGTTTAAGTTATCACTACTGTCGGGCGTCCCGAGATGCACATATTTTTAATAATATAACGAAATATTTGTCGGTAAGATAGTTTGAATTCGCGGAATCTCACGGATCTTGTTATCAAAATGACAACACCAGCTAATTTGCTTGTGAATGAAAAGTCATATACATATAGTCTTTGTGTTGCTATAACCATAGTTAATTTTGTGAACGGACTTAATCAAATTTACCGTTATTAGTATCTTTATTTATTAATTAAAGTTTAATATTTATGAAAAATATTAAACTTTAATTGGCTTACTGCGTATCAAGAGCTCGATAAAAAATGTCATTGTCAGTATTGTTTGACAACGAACCAACTCTTGATTGTCATCTGTCAAAAAATAATAACTTAAGATTAGACAGCGGTGATTTATTTTTTTTAAAGATTTTATGGCCCGGTAATAAATAAATCAGTGGCGCTACAACGTCTTTGAGGTCTGGGCCTCAGATTTTTGAAACTGTTTCATGATCATTTTTCAATCTAATAGGCAAGTAAGTGAACAGCCTCCTGTGTTTGAGACACGCCGTCGACTTTTTGGGTCTAAGACATGTCGGTTTCCTCACGATGTTTTCCTTCACCGTTCAAGCGGATGTTAGATGCGCCACATAGAAAGAAATTCCATTGGTGCACAGCCGGGGATCGAACCTACAATTTTAGGAATGAGAGTCGAATGCTGAAGCCACTAGGCCAACACTGATCTTACAGTGCCCGGTTATATAATACAAAAATAAAAATAAAATTTTTGAATCAGAACATTTATACCGAACACAATACAATACTTTCATAATCTATATTGCTCAAATTCGATATTCGTAATATCGGTTGATTGAATCCTTTATTGACATTTAATATAACTTGGGACTTGTGGCAAATGTACGAAAATTAAGTTTCGAGACGTGATATTGACATATGACAAATAAACCGATTCTTTTGTTTGGTGATTAGTTAGAAGATGATTATATAACTATTCCTAATTAAATTATAAACAAATCGCTTTCGTGTCTACTACCCTAGTATTTTTCAGTTTGGTAACTGGTATTTCTACGTACTTTTGTTCTCAATGCGTGTACGCATTGAAAACAATTCTTGTTTTCTTCATCCATGTAGAGCCAAAAAACATTTCAGTTATAAGGTTTTTTTTTCTATAATAATATTTTACATAAGCAGATGCTACAGGCTACATATGGGAGTGCATTTATATATATTATTTATTTTATTCTTTATATATATATATATATATATATATTGTTTATTTATTTTATTTTATTTTTTAATTGTCTATTATATAGTGTTTATTTTGCAGTTTGTGCTTATTGTACGAGCCAAGGCTGTACAATTTGTTATTTAGCGTGGGTATTTTCTAAATCATCTGAGTGACGCCCCGAGAGTATAGTCAGAAGTCCCTCTTCGACTGTTGTATTCATTCGTTAAATAGCAATTAACAGTACGCGAGTGATAAATATAGAGTGAAAATAAAAACCTCTATTATTTAAAGCACCCTGATCACCCAGGTGCCACACTTATCAAAAATAACTCAAATAAATTAAAAAAAAATAACTTACCTAACAAAGTCCTCGGCTGCAAAGTAACACACCCAGTATGGATGTATTCAATGAGTTGCCGAAACACGTCTGGTTCAAATTCTTCAATGATCAAGGTTTGGTGTTGCTGAGATGATGGCTGATGTAAAAAAAAACACGTTGACAATATAATAAAGAGAATATTAAAGAAGAAAGTATGTTGCGAGTTAGCGTAGTACAGCTTAAATTCAAAGTTTAATTTTAAAAAGCATGAAGTCAGTGCTTACAAGTTTGAGCCAATATTTGCATAAGCAGTGATGTCATCAACATTGATAGCATTATCAAAGAAACCATGCATTTGTTGTAGTAAAATCCTAACTACAAACGTGTGTATTGTACAAAAACACCAAGAAGATCCAAAATTCACCTAAAACACGTCAATTTTGATTTTACCTCTTGTATCGGTGCCAATTGTTGCGCGAAACTTGTTCTCTGCGGTAACATAATAATTGTTAACATAGATACTAGAATACCACAGATTGAGCAAAGAGCCAAAACAGATTAGAGTTATATAGAAGTAGACGTAGATTTCACATAGTAAAACGTATATAAAATAAAGCTAGTACATAAAGCTATTCATTAGTCAAGGATTTTCTCATAGGCATACGCCAGTGTGCGATCAGAGATCTCAAGCCGGTGTTACGTTTTTATACAAATTATTAAATGGTCAAATACAGAACAGTAACCTTTTATAGAACATTATAACTGTCGTCCCTTATTCAGTCCCAAGGTTTAAAATCAGCAGAATTTTTCAAATTCCGTCTGAAAAATCCATCCTGGGAGTTCAGTTACCTCTCATTCGAATTCTTCGCGGATATAACGGAATAAACGCTACTTAACCAGAACTTTAAAGAGGCTAAGTGCCTATCTGATCATTCCGCTGTTTTGCTAGTTATGTTATGCAAAATTTCTAGTAGTTTTATTTTTTGTAACATTTTTATTTACCATAATTGTCATATGTTGAAGAAGAGATAGCTTGTAACTGTAGATATAGCATTATGTACGATGTGGTGAGTTTTAATAAATAAATAAAGCTAAAAGAATAAGCAAAAGCCGCGCTTGGCGTCTGAATGCATTGCGCGTGGTTGCCACCTCTTTTTACCACTGCGAAAATCAACGTACTATAAAATCCCAGTAACACCATTATTAAATACAAAATGTTAACAAATATACGATTAATAATTTAATACTAAACGTTGTGTTTATTATGACTAAATTGATACACAAAACGCATTGACCCGAAATTGAATTAATGGACCAGTGTGAATCAATGCGGTTGGGTCATTTCAAAATTAATGTATACATTATACGGCTAAATGGGTTCCAAAGACAATGTATTATAACAAATTAGTAGTATAGTAGTAATAAGTTTACGGTAATTTCTCTACGATTTTGAGAGGTTCATACCTGCTGAGCTGCGTTTTGAAGGTTCAGAAGCGGTTCCGAAGATCGTTTTAAGAAAAGCCTGAGTTTGTTCTCTCTCGGAGCCGATTCCTTTTTTCTTTGAGGACTTGGTGCCTGGTAGAGCATTTTTTGAAACACCCTGGAAACATTACAACTATGAATAAAGGCTACGGTGACTATTGACATTGGCCATATACAGAAGGAACAGTATAAAGAAGTTTTTTCTTTTGCAAGAAATAAAAAGGGCTTTTTTATTTTATTTATAAGCAGTACATTATAGAGCTGAAAAATGTGAGTGAAGAGTTCATCTGCAAAAAGGTGTTAGACCATTTTTTCTTCTTGGTATTCGTTTTTTAACCGAATTGTAAATTCGAAAGTTATCAGCATGTTTGTGATATTGTTGGAATTGGAATGTATTTGAGTTATTATTTTGGCTTCCAAGCACGTCTGCTAATTTCGTAAGCGTATATTATGTTTTAAATGAGGTATGTTGCAACTTAGGGAACAGTAAAGTTTCATCAAAGTCCACGCATTCCTTGAGGGACATGTAATATGTGTACCTTATCTGCCAGATTGCGTGTTTAATAGGCTATGATGCAGGAGTCCTTGTTTATAAAAAAATGTGGACCTACGTAAACAATGTTGATTATTTTAAGTAAGAAAATCGCGCTGGCAAATTTAAATTTTCGAAAAGAATCAGTTGAACTTGCTAACTTCGAGATCAATAAAGCAGTCTCAGCTATGAATAGAAGCGTAACGACCTTTTTTAAAGTTTAATGTTTCACGTTTAAACTTATTTTCAACATCTTTCTTTCGAAAAAGTACGCATTTTAAATACTCATAATTACCTTTCATTGAAGTCAAATTAGAAAGTAGTTTTACAAAATTGTTTTTATTCTGTATAAAAAAGTTTAAATATGGAACGGTTTAAAATTAGTCCAACCGTAAATAATTCCTAGCTTTACGCATAACTTTCCGTATCTAACATCTATCTGACTCGATGCATATTCCTTACAGAGTAATACTTTCAAGAGACGTAGATGGCAAGCGCTTTCATGCCTGAAAGTTTTCTTGTAAGGAGGTAAGAAAGAGTTTAAATCCTTCGTACTTTATGCTCTCGATACGACAGATAAAAGTATAATATAATACAAAGTATGTCAGATTAAAACGGAATCGAACGTAGTGTTCTTAATTTAAAACTAAAATTAAAAAAAGAAGTACAGAAATAAGAAAGAAAACAAAAATTATTCATGCACAATACCATTGCAAAAAACTAAAGTGGAAATGGGTAGGCTACGCCGCTCGCACGAACAGTGGCAGCTGGACAAATTACAAGGTAGAAAGGACCACCAGGGAAAAGAAGGAGAGGTTGCCCTTTAGCACGGTGGGCTGAGCTATAAGAAGTTGGTAGGGATAATTGCTAGAAAAATGATCAAGATGGAGAGAGATGGAGCTTTGAAAAAAAATATAACAATTTTAAGTGTGTATATATTATGTAAAAAGGGATGCATATTTCATGGAATAAATGAGGCCTTATTATTAATTAGTATTATAAAACAAAGATCTGTTCAATCTCTTTTGGTGAATGCCGACATATAATTTTCTTATATTATAAAACTTTTCAACCAAGGGTGCATTCTTGTGTTGTAAAGGTTTTGACGTATAAAATAGTGTTCACTTCAAATATATTGTTGGGTGGTAAATATACTGACATGAACATGTTTTATATTTAACTTTTTTGTCAAAGTCTTTTGTAAATTGCATACGCCTTCTCTATGATACAAATAAATTTTATATTATTAATATTCAGTAATTTGTTACTCATAAGCCTTAGATATTATTTGAATAAAATTATGCTAATTCATTTTTTTAAATTTATTTATTCACAAAAATATATACACTATCCTCAAGCCAATATGATAATTTCGACAAAAGAAAATTGTATTAAATACATAAGGTACACAGTATCGCTACTGTGAACTCACTCAAATTTCAAAGTATTGACCCGTCTTACCTGCTTCTAGCTGCCAATACAGCCTTGACGGCGCAAACTGGCTCTCTCGTGTCCCCAACAAGAAACGTGACGTCACATAACTCAGGCATAGACGCCAGAAACTTCATATCTTCGGCCAGACCGGATTTGTTCTCGAACGTACTGAGGTCTGGCTCTGCCTCCATAGCTGCTAAAGCTCCACTTCGCATTGATGCCTTTACAACATTTAAAATTGTTAAAGTCTATACTTAAATAAAATTTATGCCCAACTTAAAGATGTTTTAACGGACAGCGAAGCTGTGGTTATACGCAATGCGCCCAGGATATGGATAAATGGACTAATCTATAATTTAAGTTAAATAAATCAGTGGTGCTTCAAACCAAATTGGGTCTCGGCATCAGATTTCTGAATCTGTTTCATGATCATTTATCAATCTAATAGGCAAGTAGGTGATCAGCCTCCTATGCCTGACACACGCCGTGGACTTCTTCTAAGGCAAGCCGGTTTCTCACAATGGTTTCCTTCACCGTTCAAGCAAATGTTAAATGCACACATAGACAGAATGACCATTGGTGCACAGCCAGGGATCGAACCTAACTCAGGAACGAGAGTCGCACGCACTCGCAGCCACTAGGCAAACTGCTCTATAATTTAAGTAGAAGTTTTGATCAACAGACTCTTTTTTTTTTGTTATAAATCACGATCGCATTCATTCAAAGTTATTCTTAATTTCATTAAAACTTATAATAAGTATCTGTTATCCTAGGAATGCTAAATCTGTCTAGACTTAAATATAAAATAACCGTCCACTGACCTTCAAAATTGTCTAATATTAATTACAAGTAACTGGGTTGTACGTTCGTAGAGTACATTGCTTCAACTTCTACTACAAAAATACTTTAAATACTAATTGTATGGATTTTTAACGGAGGATACGGAGGGAATGCACAGAAAATCGTTTTCAATTTTATAATCTAGTTTCCAAGTTTGTTATTCCGACTGATGATTTCAAGTAAATGATTGAGAGGTACCGAAATTCTATACGGGTCAGCAATCACGTTTCTCTGATGGAATAAGATGGAAATATTATATAATTCTATTTACAGCGACTTGCGGCGGTTACGCTTATCTTTTTTCCCCTATGTTATCACTTTAGGGTGGGATATCAAATAGACAACTGCCAAAAATTTAAATGACTCGATACGTAATGATAAAAGAAAGAAGGAAATAAATAACTGCTACCAAACACACATTACACACACAATAATACAGAACAGTAAAAAAATATAATTTTAAACACACAATTTTAATGATACAGAAAAGATGTATAATTATTCGTTTTAGCTGGTCATTTCATGAAATTTTTTGCCGTTAAGTGATTTATATTGCGATGAAATATATATAAGATTGATGTCCTTTTTAATGTTTCTAATGTGCCTGGTATTCGATTCCCGGTAAATAATTGATTCCGTTTGAGTCACAGAAGGCTACTATCCTATAAACACATTTTGCAGTAGATGAGACATTACATAACATTGCCGTGTATTTAATATTTCATATGTAAAATTGTAATATCTATATTTACATGTACATACAATGAATAGTTGTTCGTTTGTCTCGCTAAAACTCGATAATGATCAAATTAACTCAAGTAAATAACGCGCACGCGATACAAAGATAGTCATGTATAAAAAAGCGTGTATCAATAAAATGTTTATTTACATAAGCAAAAAGTTAAAATCCCTGAAAATCCTCTAACGATATTTTTTTAGTTTTTATTGGTATAAATAACTATTATTACATTTATTTTTTAGATATTATATTATTTTAGATTAATCCAATGATGTCCTAAAATTGTAGTTATCCAAAGCACTCCTACCATAGGAGTGCTTTGGTCTATAACATAAACGAGCACCTAAATCAAATTATATTTTCACAATGTCTAATATAAATTGTGATTTGTTTTCGACAACCCATTATCACGTACTAAGAAGGAAAACGGAAATGAACGAGGAAATGACAAAAAGATGAAAGTAATAGATTATGTTCTTGTCTCTTAAAGTAAAAATTCGATTGAAATATCTGAAAGGAATTATTTAAATAACAATTGTGTTTTAATAAATTTTACTTAAAATCGAGTTTATTACTTCGTCTGTTATAATTAACGTCTGAGTAAAACCTTTTTTAATTTATCAATAAACAAATATATTTCAAATTGAATTGAATAGTTTTTTTTATATTAATTAATTTAAAACTACTCACTTCATCCAAGCTAAAATGTCTTGTTTTCATTAAATCCATATTGAAATGTATTACACGACACGACTTAAACAGGCGAGCTCCAAACTGCGACTGACAGAAAATAAAATAGACGTCTAGCTTCAAATGGGAAAGAGCTGTTGCTTACTGACTAGAAATTGACAATTCGAAATTTGAAATGTGACATTTCTCTTATGAAAATTTATAATAAACTATCTGAATATATCTAGGTATTATTTTCTTATTAAAAAGAGTGGCGGATAGTTTATTGCCAGTTCTTCTTTTCCGTTCTACGCCCTTGTTTTGAGAACTGGCAGTAAAATTACAAACATTTAATGTATATTTCTTTTTTGACGTTCATAAGTGTACATTGTGATACCTACATGAAGAAATGATTTTTGACTTTGACTTTACAGTTTACATATAACATTTTGATTAAAACATCCGACATTACAAAGGTCCTTATAGAGTCAAATTTGCGGTCATTTTGAGTACAGCAATATTTTTTTTTTATTTTACTGATATGGCAACGGAATTATAAACGAACTTTATAGAGTGTTAATCATTATTTAAATTTTATTGAGGGTAATGCATATTTTTTTTCACTCGACGATCGCCACTTTGGATTTAAGTCTTCTCTTTATTACTGCTTTAAAATTGTGTGTGAACAGCCACCGAATTGTTATCGCCGAAGTGTCGCTCCTACCGTTACCCTTCATTGCTTTTTATCTGATTAAATATTTTTAATTATAATACCTTAGTTGTAAATTCACGTCTATATAGGTCAGTTGTCACTTTGACATTAGACAACTGTCTTGTGTTTTAATTAAAGTAAGAAAAGTTGCTGGGGCTAAGATTTTTGTTATATTACATAGTAGTAAACTATTCAAGGGAGAACACCAGTCATGGGGACAACCATGCCTTTTTGGTGGTTATGCCATTAAATTGTAGCTTATGTGAAACGTTGGCACTTTCAACACAGCGCCATCTGTTAGATTTGTGACGGTCAAATAATAAACAAATAATTTGCAATAAAATAATATTGCGGGTATAAATTGAGATCTAAGCTATCCTATCTTTTAAATTAGATCAAACTGCACACGGTGTGCAAATTTGATTGAAATCGGTTAAGTAGTTTAGGAGTCCATAGTGGACAAACAACGTGACGCGTAATTTATATATATTAAGATATATAGCAGTAATAATATAATAACGTATAATTATTTATCATACTTCACTTGTAAAGTCTTGTTCATATTATAATAAAATAAAATAAAATAAAATAAAATATTTATTTGTTTTCTCTCACACAAAAATACAGACACAAAATACAAATTTCAGCATTAACAGGCAAAATCTGTGTGAGAGACTGGCGACTGTACTAGGATACCTGTATTACAGATTGCCAGTCCCTCCGCATCCGGACCGAATGGAATTTAAGTAGGTACATCAATTTGATCGAGAGACTATTACAAATATTACAAATATACTCACATTTAAGTGGGTGTGTGTGATGGTGCATGTATGGTTTAGTGTATGTAAGTGTTAATGTATGTATGTGTTAGTGAATTTATGACTTAGTGTATATATGTCTTAGTGAAGCATATATGAGCATGGGTGATAGTGTACCTATGTACTCGTATACATAACGTGTTAGTGTTAGGTATTAGCTGAGGACTACTAACAACTTCTCAGTCCCCTCGTAGTCTAGATTTTTAAGCCATTTGACTGTGGCTTTTTTACACTCATATTTAGTAAGCGGATATATGTTGATCAACCTGTTTATCTTGTTATATAGGTGACAGCCCATAAAACCAAAAAACCTTCTTGAGAAAGCTGTGGACCAACGGGTATCTGAGGTGCAGACTTTATATTTGCATCGTTTGTTGTCATTCAAAGAAGGATCATAGCGAGTTATGGAGTGTTGTTTGAGCACAGTGTTCAGTATAAATAGTTGACGAACACTCAACACGTCAGATAAAAGATATAGATCTTTGGTAGGGTAAAAAAATGGTTTAGAATAACTTACTTTCAATAACGCACGCTGAGCCCTCTCCAGTTTTATAAGATTAGTTTTACAAGCCCCTCCCCAGACAGTAACACAATAGCTTAAAACGGATTGGCAGAGGGATTGATAAACCATTTTAATTATCGATTTTTCAGCAATATTACGGAGATTCTTAAAGGTGAAGATAAGTTTCCGAGTTCGCGATAGTAGCAGGTCAATGTGGTAGTTAAACTTTAGCGTGCTATCAACAACGACACCTAGATACTTAGTATTGTTGGCAACAAAGATCTTTTGACAGTCACAAGAATCAGTATCAGAACATACATGAGCAGTTAAACCAAGGTTAGTACTAGAACCAGGAGTTTTTATATAGAACGGTATACATTTAGTTTTATTGACATTGATAGTTAGGGCATTCATTCTGAGCCATTTGTTAACAACGTCGAATCCTCTTTGAGCAATGTCGACAGTATCTTTCCAGCTATCACCATGAAACACAAGTGCAGTATCATCTGCAAATGTTATTATTTTACCATTTTGTAACTGGAGGTCACAAAGATCATTGATAAATGCCAGAAACAGTGTCGGACCTAAAACACTACCCTGTGGCACACCATAGCGTATCGGCAAATCGTCACTAACAATGTTGCCCACCTTTACTCTTTGCTGTCTATCACTCAAGTAGCTATCAAATAGTTTAAGCTGCAAACCACGAATACCCAAAGCCTCCAATTTATCCAGCAGAATAGGACCAGCGACCGCGTCAAAAGCTTTTGCAATGTCCAAAAATACAGCTAAAATTTTATTTTTCTTATCTAGTTTTGTAACAATATGATCAGTTAATTGATGAACTGCGTCGCTTGTTGATGAACCCGGTCTGAATCCAAACTGTGAGCTGGAGAGTAGGTTATTACTTTCCAAATAATCGATGAGGCGTTTGT